AGTCCTGTAGTCGAGCACAGAGTCCTGTAGTCGAGCACAGAGTCCTGCAGTCGAGCACAGAGTCCTGCAGTCGAGCACAGAGTCCTGTAGTCGAACACAGAGTCCTGCAGTCGAGCACAGAGTCCTGTAGCCAAGCACAGAGTCCTGTAGCCGAGCACGGCAGCTGAAGAGGGTCTGAAACTTGCTCTAACCTACAAACAGAGGAGAGTCCTGGTCCTTGTCCTGACAGTCCAGCTGAGCTCCGCAGTCCAGGAGAAAGGAGGCGTTTTCCATCAAACCTCCTTCTACTGCCAGGAAGAGGGGCGTCTGACCACGGAGGGTCTGGCTCTCCAACGAGTCTGGGCCTGAAGCTGGAGGACAGATCAGCCTTTAGAGGGACTCCTCATCATTTAAATCAACAAACGGGCGTTTCAGTCAGAAACCTCCACATGTGAGCTGCAGCAGGGTGAGGTTGCTCTGAGCTGCAGCTTCGTGGAGAGGACTCCAGCCCCGGCCGTCTCTCTGCAGGAACTCGTCTTTGTGTCGGACACACAGATCCTCCAGGAGCTTCTCGTCGCCTGCAGACACGACCGGAGGTTGACACCATCTTTGATCATCGTGACTTCTTTTATGAAAGCTGCTGCTCACCTCGTCGTATGGCTGTGAAGATCCTGCTGCCGCCTGCAGACACCGAACCAGAGCTGCAGGGAGACGAGAGCCGTCACGTTAAAATCCTCACAAATCTTCTGTTGCCCGGGCGTCAAATCATTTTCATTTTGGGCCACATCAACTCATGAACGTCCTCAAAAGGCTGGACATGGCAGCATTATTGATAAAACTACCTATAAACAAACTAGTAAAATAACTTCATCTGCATTCCATGACTACTTCTAAAAATTTAATATTTTATGTTTGAGTAATTTGGCATTATAAACATAAAAACTGATTTTTAATGACTGATAAAATAATAACTGTTATCTTGAAGTTCTGTCTCTGTGGCCCTCTAGGGTTTAGAGACACAGAGATGGTTGTGCTGGGCCGGATTTGGCCCACGGGCCTCGAGTTTGACACATAAACCCAGTCTTTTATTTGGATGACTTCAAAGTTATTCTTCGTCACTTTAACTAAAGTTGTTTAAAACTGGTGCGTAACTATTAAATAACATGATTTTAACTTCAGTGATCGACCAAACCAGCGTATCAAATTTTCCAGATGAGTTTTTGCAACATGAAACCCACGGCTGGTGGTTTATTAAATTTTATCTTCTTGGCTTCAATTTATTCTTTAAATTAGTGAAGAATCGTATAAAATATAATTTAATGTGATCATCTGAATGACCTGTGGTGGTCTGGTGTCGGGGGGGCGTCCCTCTGTTTGCTGCTCTCCAACAGACTCTGTTGGATCATGTACTGAGTCTCTGCATCCTCTTCATCCTCCTCATCCTCCAGCCCGAAGCGGATCATGTCCACAAACTGTCAGAAAGAGGAGAAACTTGTGGAGCCAGTTTAAAGTTTTCCACTTACAGTAATTCTGATTTTAATAAACGTCCGATTCGTTTCAGACACGGTGACGGATGAAGTCTGGACTTTTTGACCCAGTTTCATTCCTGAAGAACCTCAAATAAAACTCTGGACTCCTCTGAAGGAGAAACTTGAGAAGTTTTAGGTGAAGTTTAACTTTCTTTCTAAACCACGTCTGATCTTCAATCATGATCTGTTTTTATTTACTGCAGATTTTCTGACTCTTTAATTCATCCTGAAAAACACGAAGACAACGTTCAGGAGCAGCGACAAACGTCTGAAAGCTTCACCTTTATGTCTTCAGGTTAGTCTCATTGAGCCTCGAGGACTCATTTACAAGAGACCTGTTTTAAACAAAGATCACAGATGATGCACAATCATATAAAATAAAAAACGGTTGAGAAAACAAGTTCAACAAAAACAAAGTTTTGAGTCTTTCACTAAATAAATTTTAAAATTAACTGAATTGAGGCGTATTTGAGGCAGAAGTCTCATATTTTACCTGCCCGGTGGTTGATTTGTTGTTGAGGGCCGACGAGAGCAGCTCGGTGAAATCAGAGCTTCAGTGACGGAGCGAGGCCTCCATGAACTTCAGTTTGGTCTTCGGACAGAACTTCCAGTAAATGCATCAGATTTGTTGGTTCGTCGTAACTAAACGAGTTATTTGTGCAGAGAGCAACAGGCAGCACACGACGTGTCTGAGCTGCAGATTTGTGGCACGACGACCGGAGACACGACACCAGTTACTATATTTACTCTCTGACAAAATGAAAACACTTTCATTCTCAGGTTCTCGTTGCTCCAAAAGACAAAACAAGAGCAGCACAAGGCGATCTACACCCGACGGGACAGAAACACAACAAGGATAAATTACCGACGGGTTCTAAATTAAATGTTTTCAACACCGACGGCTCGGAGTCTGTAGGGTTAAATGAGCCAACAGGAAAATCTGTCACGTAATTCCTGAACAAATTCTACCAAATTTTATCCTTTTAAGAGTCCAAGAACTGAGAACTTCTCCAAATACAGAAAAAGCAACGTTTGCTGCAGCACAAAGTCTGCGGCGTCGCATCAAACTTCTCATCGACGCTCACGAAGTGCTGAGACTTGTGATCATATAAAAACCTGACGGGTAGAACACGACACCAAATCTGCTGCTTGGAAACAAAATGTGCCCAGATTGTAATAAAAACGCACGTCTCCATCGTTAAATCTAGATTTGTAAACTTCTTATACGAAGATGCTGTTTATCTGATTAAAGTGCGATGCACCACTCACTTTAGAAATGTGCACACTCAGCGTCTATTCAATCACTCGCTGCGTTTTGTTTTTTAATGGTTTTTATTTCTTGACCTGTTTTGAACATTTACACCTTTCTTTGTGCAGTTTTAAAATATATTTTTGGTCAAAATGTGTTTTAGTTCACGCAAGGTGCATCAGAACAGATTCAAGAACAGTTTTTCCCTGAAAGCCGTCAACACACTGAACTCACATGCACCGATCATCCAACCTCCCAAACCCCCGGACTCCTCCTGACATTTCACTCTCAATCACCGCTCAACTACCTCACTAATATTTTAACTTTCATAGTGATATATCTATACTGCGTTACATTTTTAGTTTTTCTGACGCATGTTTTTGCACTAAAAAAGGAGTGGCTCTTAATTTCATTGTACTTGTGAATAATGACAATAAAGGCATTCTGAGTCTGAAAATCTACTTCGCTTTGAGAAACACCGAAGTGACAAAAAGTTAATAAAAAAGGGTAAATAAAATAATTTTTGTTTTCCAGAATGAACTTTATTAAATAATTATTTGCCAACATTATTTCTTGCCTTTAAGTTTTCTTGTACTTCCATTTTATATAGTGAAAATTAAAAAAACACATCAGTCACTGCAGATTTAACGTTTCTTTTCTGTGTGCAAAACAAATCACAATTTTTACAACCCAGCTGCGGAGATCAACATGAAAACTCCAAAACAAAACCCGACCCGTTGCGTCTTCAGAAACAGGACAAGACAACCGGACTGAAATTGAAAACACGTTTATTTTATTTATTTTACTTTATGACCTGGGTCTCTCCTTCTTGCCTTTGTAGAGTGCCAGCAGGGACACGTTAGCCACTTTGACCACCTTGAAGCGAACTCCGGGAATGTCACCCACGGCGTGACCTTTACGACCGAACCCGGCCACCAGAACCTCGTCGTTTTCCTGCAGGACCAACGGCAGAGGGGTGCACGTTAAAGGTGATTTAAAAAGGCATGTATTAACAATTTTTATAATTTGTTCAGCTACTTTTTAAGTTCAAACTCATTTTTAAAGCCCACACAATTATAAGTGCAATAAAACAGCAGGTTAGGCCGCCGCTGAAAACCAAACGCGGCGCTGCAGTTTACCTCGATGAAGTTGAGGCAACCGTCGTTGGGAACGAAGGCCGTGATCTTCTTGCCGTTTTTGATGAGCTGGACTCTCACACATTTTCTGATGGCGGAGTTGGGCTGCTTAGCCTCCACACCACTGAACAAAAACACGCACACTTACGTTAAAAAGGGCGGGAAACGCTTAGAAATTTTTAACAGAAAGTGTTTATTCGTTGTCATCTGATCTGCCCTGAAAGAAAACAAATTCACGTTGGACTGATAATATTTTATTAAGGAGACACTTAACAGTCAGTAAAAACACGACTCTGAAAAAGATCTTAAAGTGAAACAACCTCTAAACAAGACAGAGACATGAAGTCTTAAATAACATTAACAGATATTTTCCCTGAAAGGTCTCGTCAGTTGAACTTTCCGGCTGATCTCGTTTCTAAACTGACGACGACTTGGGTCGGCTGCAGAGCACTCACACTTTCTCAAGCACGATTCCCTTGGCGTGAGAGGCTCCTCCGAAGGGGTTAGCCTTCAGGGCAGTCCCCAGATGGGCCTTCTTGTACTGCTTGTCGTGCCATTTCTGCTCACGGCGGTGATTGCGGAGCTTCCTGGCGGTACGCAGACCACGACACTTTCCTAACAAAAGAAATAAAAGTATGACTGAAAATTGACAGTTCTGTCGAGACTATTTTAATTATGCATATGGGGAAAACATACCAAAGAAGCACTTATATTACATTTTAATTGGTTCATTGAAAATGTATCATGAAACTCATCTCATTTATTTAAGAAACTAAAGAGTATGTTTCAAATCCAACTCAAAACTGTCTAAATTAACTCAATCTGAATTTAGTCGGGTTCACACTTCATGATTTCCTCCTAAATGAAAACAAAAGAACGGATCATATTAAAAACAACTTGAACACTGCTGCTTCAGCACGAGCCTGATTTAAAACTTTAAACATAAGATCAATGAAACTAGAAAATTTAACTAAAACGAACTTTACCTTCGAACGGCTCAACTTAACGTTCCAAGTTAAAATCACGTGTCTAAACGAAACAGGTTTTGTTTACTTCTTGACAAATTAAACTATAGTTAAATTGTTGAGCACACATTAGAACATTAGCTGAATTAAAATACAACCGCTAGCACGCCGCTAGCAGCTAACACACGTCCAGGCCGCTCCACGTTGCGGAGTCATAGAGCAGAGAAAACCCGATTTATTTCTATTTAATGTAGAGTTTTATCATCAAAACAGACAATAATACGTTTATACGATGTTTATATGCAATATTGATTAAAAACATTGTGACAAATACTTATATTTAGGCTATTACGGACACAATATAAAACGTACCCATGATTGCGTTAGCGAGTCTGGGATGGAAAGGAAGGACCCATCATGCACCGCGGCAATCTACTCTAGGGACCCGAATCGGGTATGACTCAAAAAGTGCCTGACTAAAATAACGCAGTATTCTAATTCTTTATGTCAATATAATAATAAAAATTCGCTCATGTTATAATAAAGTACATAAAGCAATGCTGGTTTATTATTCTCTTTTCTCTGCTTCGATCATGCAGCACAAATATTGGAAGAAAACTTGAAAAGCACCTGAACCTAAAGCTACACCATATTTGTAGTCTTGAGTAAAAATTACCCAAGTTTTGCTCTTAAACTAAGTTTTTTTTACTTTAAATAATAGTCGCAATAGTGTATTTCGATTGAGAAAATATAAACAGTATTTTAAAAATGTATTGGTTTATCTTGAATGATTGTGAAATGTTATGATCAAAATATTTGTAGCCTATGCATTTTTATGAAAACCATTCAGCTAAAATCTATCAAAACGTCTTTACTAATCATTTCCTTTCTTATGTCACAATGTTTTCTGACATTACAAGAGCAATAATAGAAATCAGTGTTGGCTATCAACATCGAGTAAATTTGTATCTTCATTGATGTTAAATCAAAAATTTACCAACTGACCGTCCTGTATCCCTAAACAGTACACAAAGAAAATGTTGGATGTCAGCAATTAGTCTATATGTTGAAGCTGGGAAACACTTACAAGATTAAAGTTCCTCTGGAAGGTCAGATTTGGCTCACTGTTTTCATACAAAAGTTACTTTGGGGGGGAGTTTTGGAGTGGTGGCGCAGAGGTTAGAGAAGATGGGCCTGTGATCAGAAAGTCACAGGTTCAACTCCTGGTACCGTCAACATCAAAATGTGTGTGTAAAAAGGTGAAACACCCCCCACCTGCCTCCACCCTCATTTCCCCACCCTGGGCCCATGAGCAAGGGCCCCAACCCCCATCATCTGCTCCCAAAAAACAGTTCTCTCTTGAAAATGAGTTCTCGTGACTCAAAGAGACTACCTGTATAAATAAAGTGTAAATGAAAAAAAAGATAAATCTTTTTGAAATAAATAAGAGATGATGCTTGAACTCCATTCATGCAAAAGGTTTTGATTTTTAGGTGTCTCCAATCATCATTTGTGCTTAAATTTAATGTTGTTACTGTTGAAATGTGTAAACGTTAAAGTGTTTAATCAGTGGGTGGGTCTCTTCTTTTATCCATAATCTTCCCCAACTGGCTGATTCCTCACTCCATCACTGGAGCTTACAGGCAGTGGGATGATTTAAGTAGATTAGAGATGTGCAGGGATAGAATGGGAGTATTTATTTAGTGGCATCACGCTGTGGTCATC